CCCTCCACAAATAACACTGAGGACAGCAGAGCGACAGGTGACAATCCACCAATCACTCAATCATCTACTGCTATTAGGCCAGCAGACTGCGCCAGCACCTTGAGGCCCAGAAAGTCTTTAAATCATGTCATCTTTGCCGCAAAGAGCTTGATCTGTACTTTGAGATGTGACCCATATTCAGAACGTGTAACTATCAGTGCAAAACCAGGACGGAGGAGTGTGGAGATCGATGCCATGGCCATCGGAGGCGGGAGAGCGCTCTCCCGGGTGGGCTTCACAGAGGAGGTGAGCCCAACCCTGAGCCTTGGAGGATGCATTCCAGACACAAGGGCAGGAAGGCAGCCTAGGACCCTGTAGGAACAGTGTCAGCAGCACAAACAGAGGGGTCCTTGAGGACCTAAGGGGGTGTCCTGGCATCGGGGTTATGTTCACACTAGGGGAGATGGCCTGGACCCGCCGGCTTCTCCCCTCCCCCTTCCCCCTGACTGATGGGAAAGTCACAGTAATGCAGTAGCTTGTCAACACCCACCGCTGGGTCCTCAGATCAGACCTTCATCACCCCTCCACCACCAGCCTTCTCTCTGCTCTTCTAGCCCGTGATCTAGCTTCCCTACCCTTCTAATGGCCCCCAGAATTCTCTTGCTAAATAGCCAATTACTATGTCCTCACTCTGCTTTTAGACCCAAGCAACCCATTGCCTGTAGGATAAGTCCATACTCCTTTGCAGGGCAGACGAGGCCCTGCAAAGTCTGACTATGCCTACTTTATGTGCCCTCCCCTCTTGCATCCTCGGATCCAGGCTCATGGCCTCATAGCCCCTTGCTATAAACAACATATATTACCCCCCATGAGGGTAATGAGAACTGAGTCCTCCATGCCTCTCTGGCATAGTTCCTTCCTCACAGAAAGTCTTTGGGACTATTTATCTTGTAATTTTCTTTGAGACTCACCTCAAATGCATCACCTCCTCCATGAAGCCTCCCTGTCTTGCAGCTCAGGTTCCCAACCCTAAGCTCTGATATCACATTGTTGTTCCTGTTCCCAAATTTGTTTAAATATCTACTTCTTCTGTAAGCCAGAGCCAAGTGCCCAGGGCCTGATTCTCAGTCTGTTATGCCCAGGGCCTGGTGTAGCTCATTGTTCATAGAGTGTTGCTTAACAAAGATCTGCTGAATGAATGAATGAATGCGTGGAAAAGTATGGTAGAGAGGAGTAAAAAATGAAGCCAGATTTTCAGGTTATTGGGGCAAAATGCATAGAGGACACTCTGTGCAGATGTGGCCCCACAGAGAGGCCAATTCTGTCCCCAGAATGGCTGGGATTTGCCCTGCTGGGGTCTTCCCCGCTCTATTACTGAGCTCCCATCCTCCCTCTAGGGGGTGCAGGGAGGGCACCCCTGGTCCCAGTTGACTGCAGTGATCACAACAGCAGACATTTCACACACTTTAAAAAATCTATTTTGATGGTAAAAGCCAAAAAATAACAGAGAAAGTCAGGACGAGAAAATGAAGTTAGCCATAATCCCAATGACCTCAGTACAATCAACGATATTATTTTTCTATTTCCCATCCAGTCTTTTTCCTTCTGTCTTGCGATGGTTAATTTTTTTAAGATTTTATTTTATTTATTTGAGAAGAGAGAGAACATGAGTGGGGGGAGGGGGCAGAGGGAGAGGGAGAGGGAGAAGCAGACTCCCCGCTGAGCAGGGAGCCTGATGCGGGGCTCAATCCCAGGACCCTGGGATCATGACATGAGCCGAAGGCAGACGCTTAACGACTGAGCCACCCAGGCGCCCCTTGTGATGATTAATTTTGTATGTCAGTCTGATGGGCTAAGGGATGAACAGAGGACTGGTTAAACATTATTCAGGGGGTGTCTCTGAAGATCTTTCTGAAAGAGATTAGCATTTAAATCAGTAGACTGAGTAAAGATCGCTTCACCAAAGCACAAGGGCTTAAACAGAACACGAAAGCAAAGGAAGGGTGAATTGTCTCTCTCCTCTCGAACGGGGACGTTCGTCTTCTCCTGCCCTTGGCCGTCAGTGCTCCTGGCTCTCAGGCCTTCAGACTTGGACTGGTACTTACACCATTGTCTCCCCTGGATCTCAGGCCTTCGGGTTTGGACTGAGATGGACCCCGTGGGCTTTCCTGGGTCTCCAGCTTGCAGACAGCCCACTGTGGGACTTCTCAGCCTCCAAAATTGCTGAGCTAGTTCCTCAGAATAAACCTCTTTCTCAAACATTGACATGTTGCACATCTTAAACTTACACAATGTTATATGTCAATTGCATCTCAGTAAAGCTGGGAAAAAAATCTCTTTCTGTGAACTTATTAATGTCCTATTGGTTCTGTTTCTCGGGAGAACGCTAATTCATGTCTAGGGTTGCAATTATGGTTTTTTATCTACTTTTTTTTTAAAGATTTTATTTATTTATTTTGACAGAGAGAGAGAGAGAGGCAGCGAGAGAGGGATCACAAGCAGTGGGAATGGGAGAGGGAGAAGCAGGCTTCCCGCTGAGCAGAGAGCCCGACGTGGGGCTCGATCCCAGGACCCTGGGATCATGACCTGAGCCGAAGGCAGACACCCAACGACTGAGCCACCCAGGCGCCCCGCAATTATGGTTTTTTAAATATAGGATAGAAGCAGGAGATCAAAATTCTTAAGAACATCTCTTTCGTTTCCCTTCTAGTGTTCTGCATACAATGGGCGCTCAATAAGTAATTTTAAGCAGACGGACATGTGTCCTGACTAAAAGCTTTTTTCAAAGGTAACGTCACCACTGCTGTGACCCTTCCAGAAGGAAGCCTGTAATCACATCGCTCCAGTGCCCCCGGCTTTCTCTATTCCTCCCTTTTCTTCAAATTTTTCAGTACTCAACCAGTCATTTGGTCAACAAACATTTAGTGAGTGCCAGTGACGGAGTGGGCCCAATGATGGAGTGGGACTAGTAAGCTAGTCCCCCTGCTTACTGCCCTGTGACTTTGCTGGCCTGCAGCCTGTGCGTCCACCCTTGTGACAATCCTGCGGCCCCAGAGTCCCCTCGAGACCTTTTATTGGTGGCTCATTGCTCAGCACTTCTCCAGTTCAAACGAAACGTCCATGTGTACTCAGGTTCCTTCTTTTGTGTGTGCTGCACCCAGAAGCAAAATAATTGTCCAGCTGTCCTGAGAACAGCCAACAGTTGGGATTGTGTCAGCGAGTCTTTGTTCAGTTCCTATAAAGGACAGTCTATTAGGTAATAATCCGTTCCAAATGGAAAACATGTCTTTCATAAGGCCTGAAATTAATTATTGCCACATCCCCCTTCAGGCCCACAAACAGTTCTTTCACTATGAAAGAACAAGCTTAACTAAGTAGAAGGAGTCTTAAAAACATCTTTTCTAGCTTTGAAAATCATGGGATCTGGCCTCGGAGACAAGCAAAGGATGACCACACATGAGGAGCACTCCCTGAAGACAGGCAAGCTAGAGGAGGCTGGTTTGGGGAGAACCGGCACCATCCTTGGAGGGAAGCCGTGCTTCTCAAACTGCTCTTCTTCTGTGCAGGGAACATCAGTGAGGGTGGGCTTGTGAGGGCGAGGCTGTCACGGGGCAGCGCTTGGGGGAAGGCATTGCCTAATGCAGGTGAACACTGCACGAACTTAGGAGGAGTTCATCTCAAATCCCGACAAGAACCGTGTAAACCTGTGGCAGGTCAGAGCTCATCAGCCTCCCCCATAAACTCACAAGCCCAGGAAGAGGCAGGAAAGAAAGCCACATTTCTTACACGCCAGTGCTCCTGAAGGACAGGCAGCTGCTGATCAGGGTGTCCTCTGGAACTTTCTGTAAGGTGCACATGTACACACACACACACACACACACACACACACACACTGTCACGGGCTCAACTCTGTCTCCCTGATATTCCCATGTTGAAGTCTTAACTCCCAGTACCTCAGAATGTGACTACGTTTGGACACAGGATCTTTAAAAGAGGTATTTAAGGTTAAATGAGGTCATTAGAGTGGGTACTAATCCACTATAACTGGTGTCCTTACAATAAAATGAGATTAGGACACAGACACACAGAGGGACGACCATGTGAAGACACAGGGAAGACAGCCATCTTTAAGCCATGGAGAGAGGCCTTAGAAGAAGCCAAACCTGCTGAAGGGGAGACTATGCAACCCCAGAAGGTACTGCTTTTTGATTATTTTGAGCTTAAGGCAGTCAAGACACAGAACGTTCAGAGAAAAATTTTTCTCTCTCTCTTAATTGCCTAGAAGAATTTAAATGGGGGCCTGGCATAGAATGACAGCAATGGCCAGAGATAACTTTCTTATCTGAAAGACGAACCTGCAAGGCTCGACAAGCATCCGCTCTTCTTGTGGACTGTGTCGTGGATCACCTCCCTCCCCCTTGAAGCCCCAGGCCTCTATCTGCTCCTTAGCTTAGGATGGCACAAAAGTCTCGGTTGCCTGACTGCCTTAGGCTCTCATATTTTTATGTGGCTCCTGCATGTACAAAATTAAATTTGATTTCCCCCTGTTAATCTATCTTATGTCAACTTATTGGATCGGTGAAGAACCTAGACGGGTAGAAGGAAAATATTTCCTCCCCTACATGGTCAACACCTTGATCTCAGACCTCTAGCCTCCAGATCTGTGAGAAAATTTACTTATATAGTTTAAGCTACTCGATCTGTGGTACTTTGTGGTAGCCCAAGCAGGCTAATACACCCACTCACACACATTCACCAACTCTCACACTCACATAGAAACTCACATAGAAACACTCTCACACACTCATACACACACACACACACACACACAGACTCACATACTTATACACCATCCAGACTCATGTATTCAAACACACTCACACATACATCCTCACACACTTATACACACACAAATCACATACCCTTGTATACTCATCGACCCAGACATGCTCACACTCATCTCAAACACACTCACACATGCTCTTGCTCACTCCCACGAATCACACACACAGACTCACACTCACTCACACAATCATCCACATAGATGAATACACTCTCTCTCACACACACACAGACTCACATACTCACTCACACTCTCACACACTCATCCACACACTCATCTTCCATCCCCACCCACACCACCTGTGTAGTTGTTGCTCCACTCACACACCCACACCCTCACACCCACTTCCCTGAGCCCAGGGACTTGGGCTGTTGTGGCTCAGGCCTGTACTGAGGCTTGTTCCCTTCTCTTGCTCCCTGTCAAGCTCATTCCCCTTGCTAGAACCTTGGATCCATCCTGGAGCCCTTTGCCTGGGGTCTGACTTCTTGCATTCTGGCACTCCCTGGGTACCTGGCCCTTGGCTCTCCTGTCTCCAACCTTGGCCTGAACAGGAGCTGGGAGGCCTAGATTCTATTGACCAGGGGCAAGGAGCACACACTCTGAGCCTCAGGACTCTTATCTCTAAAATCAATAATGTAAGCTAGCACAGTGGTTCTCCAAGTGTGGTTCCCAGACCAAGAGCAACAGGATCTCCTGGGACTTATTAGAAATGCACATTCTCAGGCTCCACCTGGACATACTGAGTCAGAACCTCTGAGGGGTAGAGCCCAGAAACCTGCATTTTAATGTGTCCTTTGGGTAGTGCTGATCCAGGCTAAAGTTTGAGAACCACTGAACTAGAAGATCTCTAAAATTTCTGCTAGGGACTAAACTTCCCAGACTTGCTATGGGTATTGTGTGGTAATCATGAGGGGAATTATTAATGAAAGGCCTTCAATGTGTCCCTTCCCTCCCAAACATTAGCTCTACAATCCCCTAAAGGAGGTATCATTAAAAGTGTTTTCCGGATGAGTGAAATAAGGCACAGAGAGGCTAAGTAACTCAGGAGGGGACACACAGTGGGACATGTGCAAAAGGGGGACTGACATGGAGCCGCCTCACTGTGTGATCTCTATGACAGTGACAAGTGCCTGACCTCTCAGCACTCAAGGAATGTCGTTTGCTGGTGGTGCTGTGACCCCTGCGTACCTGCTCTTCCCACCGTAACCGGCACGGCTTGCGTCCACCACTGCCTACGTGAAGTACCTTCCAGCTTCTTCCCATCCCTGCCCCCAGATCCGCTTTCCTCTGATTTCCACAGTAGTGAACACCGAGGCCTCCCCGCCACTCCCCGGCTGCCACGAGTCCTGGAGCCAGCCTGGCTACTGTAGGAAAGCGGCTGTCCTCAGTTCCAGACTGTCAAGGCCTAGAAAAAAAATGCATCCTCTCTCCTCATAACCTCCCCTTAAAAGAAAACCTCCTGCAGGCAGAGGTGGAGACTGTCAGAGATTCTACCCTCCTCACAAAATTCCAATACCGGTGGAAGAAACAATGCTTTTGTAATGTTTCCCTAGATGAGGCCTGAGGCCTGTGGGCACTGAATGGAAGGTGAGCCCTCTCCTGGGATAGGTGTGTGTGGGTAGCTGGATCAGCCTGAGGCACGCTTTGCCTCTTTGGGGTTTTAGAGAGGGGGCCTCAACATGCTGCTATTCTTAGCAATGGCTGCTGGTCTGTCCCCCACCAGGAAGACCGGGGTTTTTTTTTCACTGCTCTGGCCCTTGACCACATGCATAGAGGTTTCTAACCAATATTTGTTGATTGAATGAATGAATGTTGTCCCATCTACCGGCTTCTACCTCATGGGGGAAATGCGCACGCACGTGCGCACGCGCGTGCGCGCACACACACACACACACACACACACACACACACACGTGCTCTGGGGCTAATGGAGGACAAGGAGGCCTTGACAAGGGGAAGGTGGTGAGGGGCCAAGACCAAAACGTGAGGGGCCGAGGGGCGTTGAGAATGGGTCTCTGCACAGTTGAGGTCTGAAAAAAGAAGCGACGCTGAGGTTAAAGGAAAAGTATCATAAATTGGAAAATCGGGCCCGAGACCGGAGAAGGATGTTTTTCAAATTATGGGTGAGGTCTGCTTACAAAACTTATGATTTGTGTCGAGGGCAAAAAGGTCACTGACGTGGCTTAAGAGGGCACCAGGCCAGCGCACTTTCCTGAGAGCCTGGGTTCACACCAGCTGTGGGGTTGCCTTGTGGCCAGGACTAATTTGGTAACACGCAGAGGTGCACCAAGGCCGGGGAGGGGGGCCTCATGGGCTGGACTCTCACCCGAAGTGACACGAGCTTCAGTTCCGCTTTCTGTCTGCAGAGAATTCCTGCCCTGTTTGTCATTTCAGGAAGGCGATGCTTTGCATCACGGTATGCACGGTGCACCTTGCCCAAGACTGCGTTGCAACATGACCAGGCGGAGACTCCATGCCCTCTGCGACCAGATGAAGCCTCAGTCCTCCTACCCCAAGCTCCTTCTCTTCAGCTGGGCTTGGCCCCTCCGTGTCAATGGGCCATCCGGAAATTCCATGACCCAGGGCCCCTGCGATCAGTAGCATGGGCTTGGCTCACCTTCTCTTGCTATGCTGCCCACTGTCCTCTTCTTGGACCTGCTCAGGTTTGAGCTGGTGTGTTGCTACTGCCCTCTAGACGCAGGTAATGGTCACTGAGAGCGGCTCCCAAACAGAGGAGTATTGTGGACAAAACCCCAGTTAAGGCAGGCAGCAGAAGACGGCAATCCGTCAGCAATTTTGCAAAGATAAGCTTGTGTGTCAGGTTAACAAGTTAACATTCACTGAGGGCGCACCATGGGCCCGGCCGTCTCCCAGCGGCCTTCCTGTGGTCAGTTATAAACGAGGACACATGGTTGCTGGACAGACCGCCTCCCTGGAATGCGATCGCGAAGTGCAATCGTCCCAGCGATGGATTTTCTCAGTACTGGCAGAGGCCACATCCAGCTTCGAGAACAGCCTTCCTTGTCATGTTGCGCTCCCAGCTTAGGGGTGTGTTTGATGTCAGCTGAGGCTCTCCACTGTGAGCACCGGTAGGGAGAGTAAAGTTACAGGTGGGTTATGTTCCTCCAGCTAAGCACAGCCACGCATGTGGATGCCTTCTAATATTCTCGTAAGGCAAACAATACAGTTTATTGGGAGTTTAAGTAACTCCAAAAGGGGCAAACTTCCACTTACAAAATAAAAAAAAAAGTAAGTCCTGGGCTCATCATGCTGACTATATCATTAACGATACTATATTGCATGTTTGAAAGTTGCTAAAAGAGGGGCGCCTGGGTGGTTCAGTTGGTTAAGCGACTGCCTTCGGCTCAGGTCATGATCCCGGAGTCCTGGGATCGAGTCCCACATCGGGCTCCCAGCTCAGCAGGGAGCCTGCTTCTCCCTCTGACCTCTCCCCTCTCATGCTGTTTCTCTCTCTCTCTCAAATAAACAAAATATATTTAAAAAAAAGTTGCTAAAAGAGCTTACAAGTTTCCATCACGAGGGAGAAAATATGTAACTCTATATGGTGATGGATGTTGTCTAGTTTTAGTGTGGTGATCCATTTGCAATGTATACAAATGTCAAATCATGATGGTGGACACCTGAAACTAATATGTTATCTGTCAATTATAGCTCAGTCGAAAGAATTTTTAGAAAATAGCCACGAGGTTTTTGCCAGTAATATATAAGCACAGAGTGGATCTTTGAGTAGTGAATGAAAAATATGAAAAGAATACGGCAGAGGGACACTAATCACTAACGAACCCCATGCTAAAATTCCTGATTCTTCTACATGTTCAGAGTACTTGTTAATAATGAGCTGACGATACACTGCCCTGGGGAGCGGAGGTTTTATCTTAGCTTAAACTCCAGATGTGCAAGTAAACACTATAAAAAATGAAATGGGTGACCAACAACTTCTAGCTTTTCAAAATAGAGGAATTATTCCTCAGTTTATCACCAGGGTATGTCAATGGCAGGAAGAGCCATGGAAATAAAAATATTAAAGGAGTAATCAAGCTCATGGCGGGGATGATGGTTAAACCCAGGTGAAAACACTGCTAGAATATGGAGTCTCCACAGGGTGGCCCGCTTCTGGCCTCTGAAAGGGGGCAGTTCAGTGATCTGACCTTCCCCCCAGGACCCTGGGACCCACTGAGGAGAGATGCCCACAGTAGCCATTTCCTCCCCAGCTCCTCGGGCACCCTAAGTTCCCCCTGAGACAGTTTGCTTGGCTTAAGGCTACTTTATTTCCCACTTTCCCTTTCAAGCCAGCGTCACAGGAACCTCATATGCAAATGGCTACAAAGCCTTTCAGTGAAGCCTGAAGCCTTCCAGAACACAGAACTCCTTAACCTACAAAACCCCACTTCCCTTAAGATAGGGGCAGCTGTCTTGGTTTCTCTTTGGAAAGAGGGGAAGTATAAAATATTTATATTCATTAAATAGAATCATTTGTCCTAAAATAACACGTCAGCTTACCTCTGGGAAGAAAGTCTCATGTGCGATGAGCACCCCCATCTGCTTATACTTTGCTTAGGTATAAGGTGCCTGCCTTCTGGGGAAAGTCTTCCAAAAGACGTGACTGCCAGTTGATCCAGGAGCCGAACCCAGAGGCTTCTCAGCCCCTCCCTGTCCTTGGAATGTGGGTCTCGTTACCCTCTCCTGCTCCTAGAGGCTACCCCAAGGACACAGCCTCCAGATAATGATGTGGTGCTGAGAACAACTGCACGGTCTACTCGACTGAATCCACTTAAGGCCTCTCTCTATATAAACTACTAAGATCTGGCGAACAGGTGTAGGGATCCATTTGATCCATTTGATCCAGGGATCCGGATGGGTCTTGTATGTAAGTTCCCTTTGCGTATTAAACCTGCCGCCAGGGATGCCTGGGTGGCTCAGTCGGTTAAACGGCTGCCTTCCACTCAGGTCATGATCCCAGGGTCCTGGGATCAAGTCCCACATCCTGCTGCTTGCTCAGAGGGGAGCCTGCTTCTCCCTCTGCCTGCCTCTCCCCCGGCTTGTGCTTTCGCTTTCTCAAATAAATAAATAAAAAACAAACTAACACCTCTCACCCACCAACCTGGAGAGGGCTGCCTCTTTCTTTGGCCTCCCCCTGACCTCCGTGTATGTGAGCCAGTTTCAGATTATATTTGGGAGGCTCCCACGAGCATTGAGAACCAACATGGTCTGGCCAAATCATCCCCTCGGTGAACAGGCGGGGGCCACGCTGTTCCCTCACCAGGCTCGGTCACCAAAGCCGTGTTCTCGACTCCCGAGGCTCACCCCAGGCCTTGTTTCAGGACATCCGTTGCACTCGATCTACGTAGCTCTGTCGTGTGATGATGCAGATGTGATTCGGGAGCCTGCCAGCACCACGGCGGACTGCCCCGGCCCTGGGCGGGCACAGCCTGGACCTGTGGCCTATCTGTTTCCCATTTAGTGACACCTGGTAAATAGTGGCCAACAGGGCTCACGGAGGACCTGTGTCACCTGGGGCTCTGCAAACCAGCTTTCATAAGGCTGCTCTCTTTTCGGACACTCAGGGGGGCAGTGAGGACAGACACCCAGTGTCTGCTGGGGTGTGTTGTGTGTGCAGCGCAAGACACACCTCTCCAGCCCACACTCACTGTGCAGCAGGCTGGTGTGTGGGGCCACACCTAGGCAGCGGAGAGAGTTTGGGCTGGAGACACACTTATTTTGGGTGGGAATATGTCAGCTTCCTTTGCATTAGCTCTATCCATGCATCCGTCTGTCCGTCCATCCATCCATCCATCCATCCATCCATCCATCCATCCATCCAATACTTAAGGTGTGCCTGTTACGTCCCTGTTATTTACCCACATGATTCCAGGCATCAGGAAAGCAAAGAGGAGCAAGACAGAGTTCTTGCCTTCGAAACACTCGCAGGCCAGTGTTGGAAGTAGACACAGAAATACGTCATTGCAGTGCCATGTGAGAAGTGCCCCAGGGAGGGCAGGTTGTTGGGTGCAGTGGGCGTGCGGAAGGCTATTGGCTGCGGGTGATGACAGAAGGGAGAAGGAGAGCCAGGGTGGAAGGTCTCACCCACTCCCGGGTCTCCAGGGACCCCCGAGGCAGCACTAGGGAGCATCGCCTGTCCTGCTGAGCCATTTGCAGGAGCACTTCATCCCCAAAGGGCAAGGAGCAGGTGGTCCTCCCAAGAGCCGCTGGCTGATATGGCCACAGCTTCCTCTTTGTCACTTCCACATGGTACCCTCGTCCATGGACAGGAACTGCTGCAAGGCCCTCTCTAGCCATGGATGAGTAGCTCTGGAGATGGGGTCAGTAGCCTGTGCACACCAGGGGGACAACCCACAGCCCCATCCTGCGGGCAGCGGCTACAGCGACACTCCCAGCCAGCCTGTTGGAGGAGCAGGGGGCGAGACAGGGACAGGTCTGTTCCCACAGGTGTGTGCACCTGCCTTCCCCGCCCCCACCCCTGCCAGGCACAGCCCGTACCCGTGACCCTCAATAGAAGGGAGTTACTCCATAGTCACCACAGTGGTGAACAGGAACCAAGTAGCTTCCCATTTTCAAGGTTCTGCGATTGGCAATGTGGGGACAATCTTTCCCCATCTCTCAAAACTAGAAATTCTTTTCATTGTAAAGGTAATGCATGCTTACAATAAAGCACTCTAAAGACAGTGGAGAATAGTCTACAATGGAAAGTTAAAATCCTTCTCACTAGCCCCGCTACCACCACCACCACCCCACCATCCCCCACCTTGAGCCACTGTGAAGAATTTCTTGTGTCTCCTTCCAGGCATTCCCTATGTGCGAATACATGTGCTTGATTGTTCCAAATAGGTAGTAGGATACGCAGTGTTCTGTGACTTCCCTATTCACTTATCTGTGCGTTTTGGACATATTTCTGTGTTACTCTGGATAACCCGATCTCCTTTTTGTTTTTACCAGTCCTTCATCTCTTTTTAAAGGCAACTGATTGCCCTAAACCAGAAATGGCTGGGGGCTGTCCACCTCCTTCATAGTGAGAAGAGGCAACAGATAGAAGCAGAAATAGCATTAGTCAGATCAAGCTCAGAATTCTGGCCTGCTAGCTGTGTGGTCTTTGGAAGTGTCTTAACCTTCTCTGGGCTCAGATGACACATCAGTAAAAATATGATTATATACATGAATTAGGCTAAGGACCAGAGTGTAATAATTGCTCAGGAACTGTAGTTTTTCTTAAATGGAGAGACATTCAATATTGGTGTATTGCAAGCCTCAGTGTTAAGATGGTGATTCTCACGGCGCCTGGGTGGCTCAGTCTATTGAGCGTCCGACTCTTGGTTTCGGCTCAGGTCATGATCTTAGGGTCGTGAGATTGAGCCCCACATGGGCTCCTCGCTCAGCCGGGAGTCTGCTTGAGACTCTCTCCCTTTGCCGCCGCCCCCAAATAAATAAATAAATAAATCTTTAAAGAACAAAAAAGATGGTGATTCTTCCCACATTGATCTATGGATGCAACTAGATCCCTATCAACACCTCATAAGGTTCTTTCTTTTCCCCCCAGAAACTTTTTCAGTGATTCTCCCCTTGCTGCATGTTGGAATCACTTGTGAAGAGCCCAAAGGAATACAGATGCCTGATCCCAGCCTCAGAGGCTCTGATTTAAAACGGGGCTGAAACTGACAACACAGGTTGGTTAGGATCACCAGGCTGTGCCCGTGGGGTGGCTGTTAGCGGCATGCGCTGGAGTCACCTGGGACGTCTCCTCTCCTGAATACCTGGTGGTCGACGCCTGCTGTAGGCTGGGGCCTCAGCAGGGGCTACCAGGCCAGACACCTACACGTGGCCTCCCTGTGTGGCCTGGGCTTTCTCACGTCGTGGAAGCTGGGCTCCTAGAGAGAGAATCCAATGGGACCGGGGAAGCTATTTTATCTTGCATGGCCTAGCCTGAGGTATGACACGGTAGCCCCGCTCTAGTCACAGGCCCCCTTAGATTCAAAGGGAGGGAACATAGGCCCTACTTCTCAGTGGGAGGGATGTCAACATCACATCAACACAAAATTGTAAGAAGCTGTGGGATGCAGGGCACCTGGGTGGCTTGGTCATTTAAGCATCCGCCTTTGGCTTAGGTCATGATCTCAGGATCCTGGGATGGAGCCCCGTGTTGGACTCTCTGCTTAGCAGGGAGCCCGCTTCTTCCTCTCCCACTACATATAGATTAAAGCCTGCTGTAAGGTAAAGAAATCCCAAACCCCAAAATCCCTGGGATGCATTATTTGCAATATATGGGACAAAAGGCTAGTTAACTTAAAAATATATAGGACATGGGGCACCTGGGTGGCTCAGTTGTTAAGCGTTTGCCTTCAGCTCAGGTCATGATCCCAGGGTCCTAGGATCGAGCCCCGCACCGGGCTCCCTGCTCGGCGGGAAGCCTGCTTCTCCCTCTCCCACTCCCCCTGCTTGTGTTCCCTCTCTCGCTGTGTCTCTCTCTGTCAAATAAATAAAATTTTTAAAAATATATATATATATAGGGCACTTATAAGTCAATAAGATTGTTCCAATCAAAAAAAAAAAAAACCCAAACTTGTAGCGGCAATTGATACAAGGATTTACAATGATAAATATACATTTTAAAAAGTCAAACAACTAAGAGAATGTAAGCTTTAATAAACAACCTCCCCTCGATGTTCATGTGTCTGGCAAAGATGAAAAGAAAAAAGAACTATCCAAGAATAAAAATGCTGGCAGTAGGTGTTCTCAAACAGTCCTGCTGGTGGGAGTATAAATTGGTACAAACTTCTGGAAGGCAGATGGCAGTATATATCAAAAGCTTTAACATTTTGAATAATATTGAGTCTTATTCTACAGAAGTGAATAAGGACACTTTGACATAAGTACAAAGTTGCTTATTAAGTGTTATTTACCATAGCAAAAAAAAAAGAAAAAAAGAAACATTCTAAATGTTTGTCAATAAGAGAGTTTGTGAGAGTTAACTATCCATTCATAGAATATAATACTATTGCAGCCATTAAAAGTGATGTTCATATGCACATTTATTTAAATGGAAAATAAAAATACCAAAACGTATATTAAGCAGGATCCCATTTTTTGTTGTATACAATTTACAAAATATACATAACACGATTTTGTGTGTGTATGTGAGTTTACATTTCTGGGATAAGATATCAACGTATTAATGGGATGATTGCTAAATAATGAGCTTTATGGTGATTTCTTTTTCATGTACTTAACCTTGACTTTCCAGTTTTCTAAATGTAAACGTGTTAAACACAAAGAAATAAAAGTAAAATACCATAAAATGTTTTTAAATTAAAAAATACAGTAAAAATAAATCTCTAATTTCTACTTAAAATGTTCTGTAAAAAGGGAGGTGGGAAGGATGTGTTGAGTGTGGCCTATAGAGCAAACCAGATCCGGAGGTGGGTTCTGCTCTGATAGTTGCTGACTGACCTTTGAGAAGTTATGTCACTTTGGGCCTCAGCTTCCTGACTCATGCAATGGGCACAATAAATTCTACTTCATAAGATTATCGTGAGGAAGGAGTCTCCTTTCGCATTTACATTCATCAGATGAAAGCTTCTTCCTGGAGGATCCTTACTGAGCTCTCTTCTCTAAAGTCGTTAATATTTGAACCAGTCATTTCTCATCACCCGGCATTAATATCTCCTAGGCAACTAGATACATACTCGCTGAGTGAGGACCGGGTCTTACTTGCACAGTGCCTGCATTTTCTGGAATTCTGTGTCATCCTCCACTTAGATGCACTGGGAACCTGGACTCTGGAGGGATGAATATACGCTTCCATGTACATGCAAGTACACTTAGGAATACCTCTGTGTGGTCCTCCCAACACTGACCACACTGCTGTGGCCGGGTCACCACGGACATCTGCAAACGTTGACTGAGGAAGATAGGACTCTGGGAGGAACCCCCCTGGGCTCTTTGGGGGAAATCTGCATTAAAAGGCTTGAAAACGCTGGGAAATTGTGACATTTAGACTTCCTTTGGTAGCGGATGCGGCAACTAACCAATATTAGGAAAGTTCTAGAGCAGGGCGATGGGAAAGCCTGAGCAGGGTCTTTTGGGGAAGTTATCTGGGCCTCCAGGCCTGGGAGACTTAACCCTCACCTCGTCCCCCGAGCCAAGCAGGCATTGCGAGGCTTTTCCTGCCCTCTAGTGGTCTCCTCTGAAATTGCCTTTGAGAAGACCGGCCGCCGAGTGAAACCTTGAGCGTCACTCAAGGCTCATCTATTCCCAGCTCGCTTCAAGTCAAGGAGAAGCCAACCGTAGAGTCTGTTCTTTAACTCCGGCGGGACCCCTCCTCCTGGCCCGAGAAGAGGGGGACGGCCAGTGCGGGACTCCGGAGCCGTAGCCCAGCAGCGACATCTCTGCCAGGGCCACCGGAGCCGGTCTCGTCCTCCTTCCAGACCAGTGGTCTGCAAACCTGCTTGCTCCAGGTCCCACTAAAGGAATTTTTCAAAACCATGTTTCCTCTTAACATTTTATCTTCGCAACATTTTTGTCACAGGTTCGCCTGGTTGCAAAGGGATGTAACGTCCAGTTTATTGCCTGTATTGGCATTTAAGAAATAAAACTGTTACATCACACTTACAAGTGTATCCAGGTGGACCTGAATGCAAGTGATTTTAGCCCTTTCTGAGAAATCCTAATAAGTCTGTTTGTACTTCTCATTCCCATTACCCATAAAATGTTACTGCAGTGTGATGTGTTTCTGTCATTGCAAGTCTTTTATGGACCACCCCGGAGTGAATCACCCAGACTTGAGGGGAAGGAAGGGACTGTGGAGCGTGGCACCCCATGGGGAAGGTCAGGGAGGCAGGTCAGGCGGTGCAGACGGGATGGGGGCACGGGCAGGGCCTTCACTGTTAAAAGTGGACTATCCACTATTGTTTTGGGCTCTCTGGCTCGCTTCAGGAGGGTCTGCTGTGAAAGTAAGTGAGGGGCTCAGGGAGGATTTATTTATTTCAGATTTTTAGATTTATTTTAGAGAAAGAGAGAGAGTGCGCATGAGCAGGGGAGGGGGAGGGGTGGAGGGGGAGGGAGAGAATCTCAAGCAGACTCCACGCTGAGCAAGGCGTCCCACGGGGGTGGGGGGGTGCAGGCTCCGTCTCACCACCCTGAAACCAAGAGTCAGACGCTCAACCAACTGAGCCACCCAGGCACCCCATGGTGGGTTTTTTAAAATATTGTATGTATTTATTTCAGAGAGTATGAGAGAGTGCACAAGTAGGGGGGAGGGGCAAAGGGAGAGGGAGAAGCAGACTCCCCACTGAGCAGGAAGCCCAGAGACCCTGGGATCAGGATCCGATTGGAAGGCAGACACCCAACCGACCGAGCGTCACTCAAGGCTCATCTATTCCCAGCTCGCTTTAAGTCAAGGAGAAGCAAACCGCAGAGCCTGTTCTTTAACTCTGGCGGGACCCCTCCTCCTAGCCTGAGAAGAGGGGGGTGGCCAGTGCAGGAGCCGTAGGGGTAGCCCAGCAGCGACATCTTTGGGACGTAGAGCATAGCCCGGCAGGCGCCCTGGTGTTTCTTTAAATCTGTGAGCGGATTACTAGTAAGACCCCCAAACCCTTAATTCCTCAGATAAGAAAATTCAGTTGCTGTGAGTATGGAAGTAAAACGGCCCAGGTCATAGGTAAGGAGATTCACGTTGCTCTAGGACTACTGACACGGCCCGCCTTTTAAGACCGAGCATCCTTTCCCTCTGAGAAGCCTTTTTAGATCAGCTATGCCCTTATTATTTATGTTTTTAGGTGCACAACATAATGATTTGACGATCATATACATCATGAAATGCTCACCATGATAAGTATCGCTGCCATCTGTCACCATGTGTCAACAAAATTATCACAATATTATTGATTACATTTCCTACGCTGTACCTTTCATCCCTGTGATCATTATTATTTCTTTTTTTGATTCTTAAATTGTGTGTGTGTGTGTGTGTGTGTGTGTGTTAAGTAAATTGATCATTTGAGGCATCACCCCCTGGGGTGTCCTTTCTCTCTCCATCCCACCCATGGACACCCGCCTGAGAGGCCGGCCACTGAGGCTCCATATGCTCTTAGGAGGGATGTTCTTGGGGGTGGTAAACAAGGGTATGAGCTGGAAAAGATGTGCAAGGCCATGCCTGTGGGCAGAGGAGCCCCCAGGAGGGCTCAGGGCACAGGGGGAGGAGTGCAGTAGGAAGAAGGCCCTGGCCCCCTGACTGCCCTGTCTCCCTCGGGGCATGGAGGGACAGCTGCACGTCACCCCATCCGCACAAGCGGTGAGGGAGGGCTGAGGGAAACACTGCAGTCCCCGCAGGCCAGGGGGCCGGGGTGAGGAGGCTGCAGAGTGACCCGTGAGGACCACAGGACCAACCACTCCAAGACGCACAGAGGAAGACCCTGAGAAACTGGGCGGCCAAGCACAGGCACCACCAGTGGGGGTGGAAGGCCAGCCTGAGACTGGGGGGCTGGTCTGCAAGCTGCAGAGAGTTGAGACTGGGGCCTGGGTGAGGAAGGAGGGGTTCAACAAGACTCCTGAATATGACTGAGTTTGAACCCAGAGTGACTGAGAAATTACTGCATTGAACTAGAATTCCCCTAGAGTGAGTTGTCTGCCAAAGCAGGGCTCCGAGTCTGAAAATCAAAATGAGTTATGGAATAAATAAGACTTTTTTGGTACATTTTGTGTACATGTGCAATTCATACATACTTACTAGTTATGCTGTAACACGTATCCTAATTGGATACAAGTATGTGTGAGATGATTATGAGATAGCTTTTTACCTTTTTTTGGCGGGGGGACAAAACTACAGACAAACATACTCAAAAGTAGAGATCACCAGAGTTACACACTCCTGTATCAGTTAGGGTCTCAACAAAAGATGTGCTCCCATGAGGATAATTTGAGTGAGGGTTAAAGTTAGGGCTGGGGTGTGGGGAACCAGTCTGAGCGCATAGGGCAGGGGGTTGTTACCTCCCTGATGCCCAGAGAGACCAGGGGAGGAAATGGTTCTGGGGACACTGGCAGGGTGGGAGTGGGGGGGTAAAGATCTGTTATCACTCTCTTCTTTCCCTCCTTTGCCTGCTAGGAAACCAGGG